GAGAATTAGATACTCCCCGAAAAAAGCCTTAAATTGGTCAAGAGAGCTTTACTACTAATCCGAAATGACCTTCAACACTGCCAGCCAGAATATCAAAAACTAGAAACGCAAAAAACCACGATTTACAATACTTGCGGGTGGTTTTTTTTCAGAAAAGGCCTTTAGTTTCATAAGGACTTGAAAGCTAACCTGCAACTGATGAGCCAATCTCAGAACCAGTAAAGCATCCGATAAGGAGAAATCAATAAGATCTTTCACTCCATTGGCGGTAAGAAACAGACAACGCAAATCCGCAGAATCCACCTCCAAATCGACTCCAGAAATGAGAGCCTCGTCGATATCAGGCGCTGCTGCCACCGGCGCTTTGCCCGAAAAGAGGGCTGCAGTTGCTGAAGAGGCAAATTGACGGGCGACGGGTGCCGGAACGTGGCGACGTGATTTGGCATCACCACCCAGAATTTGGAAGGTCAACTCACTGAGATTGTAGGTACGAGATCGAACTAACTCACGAGAGGAAATTCGGGTATCACAAACTAAACGACCAGGCATTGTATGACGTATAAACCAGGTCTATTAAAGAAAAAGAAGCGAGCGAGTTGATGCAGTTGCCCATGTGCATGTCTGTCAAGCCAGAGGTCAAAACATTAACTCACAGTTAATTGGTGCAATTGGTTGATTTTGTGATTAGTAAATGGGAAGATTAAAAGTTTTCTCGGACACTCCACAAGAAACAGGTTTCCTTCCCACTACCCTAAGTAGACTGGAAAGTATTTCAAAAATCGACCTAGACTACGCTCTTGTGAGACCACAAAATAAGATCCATTTACGTTATAAAGGTGGGAGACCACAGATTTCGAAAAAGGCACGCCGTGAAACACCTACCAAGTTCTAAAAAAGACCAACTCATATTTACATGGTTTCGATAGAAAGTAGCACACAAATTCACCTTTCATAACAAATAAAATCTACCACTTTCTATATTGTTATATTCAATTTGAGATGGGTTCGTGGAAAATCATTTTTAAAAATATAACAATGGTTCATTTCCAGACAAATGAATCACTTCGCAATTAATTTCAAGCTTTCCATAGCGCCTACATCCGAGCCAAGAGAAGGGATATTAGAAATTTACTAATTGAGATTGGCAGGGCTTGGAGGTAGAAAAGGGAAGACCAATTGAAACCCACTTTCAGAGAGGCTCAGATTAAATTCCGAAAAAACCAAACCCTAAAAACTAGGCCTTCCATCCAAATCAAATATGTGAAAGCTATGCACCACCACCAAAACGCCAGTCATTCAAACAAAAAAATTTGACATCTTATTCCACCATATTGCTTCCAAGGGGCAGTATTGTAATGAGAATGGACGTCACAGTGAATTCTGGTAGTCGGTCCACTCTTTAATGCATTATTTAAGAAGCTCACTCTATTGAAGTTGACGGTGAAGTGCGCTGAACGCCTCAATCGGCCAATTCTATGCCAATGTGCGACTTTGTGAGATATGAGACGATGGACAAGAAGATCAAGTTGGTTACCCCATAGATCGTGGCCAATAATGAGATCTGGATCGAGTTTGTGGATACGAGTGAGGAGGCGTCCAAGAAGAGCGCGTTCATTGGGTTCAACATCAACACCGCCAAGAGGGGCATTTTCAGCCCCGGTTGAGGGCACCTGATATTGTGGACCCCAAGTTGGCAAACGCCGGGATAAGTCGTAGGGCAGAACGGAGTCCTTTGGTGGCGCAAGTACTGAAGTAAGAAAAAAAACAGGATGCACGAAGAGGAGTACATTGAAATTCACCGTGATACCGCAAGTACAGAGGCACAGAATTGTTCAATTTTTGAGCATTGGCCCATAAATGTCGACATGATACCAATAAAATTTCTCAATAGGCTAATTCAAGGCAGTTTCATTTCTTTTCGTTTCGATTCGTTATTAATGGCTTTGAAGTAATTAGATGCTATCAATAATTGGATACTGTAGTGTCATTAGAAGTTCCAAGCACTGATTAAAGTCCGCACACAAAAAAAGTAACGATACAATTCAATATTCCTCCTGAGAGGTGAAAATTTCAGCTCACCCAGATAATGCGACTGGAATGCTTTTTTGCCAGCAGGCCTGTCCAAGTGGAAGTGATTGTCAATCAACACACCCACCGATATTATCTAAAAATAGCAAATAGATAAACAACTATTAAAGTGAGAACAAATTTTACAAAACTTCCAGAAAGAGCCTACCTCAGCAGAATTGCTCTTTTTGCGAACCACTGACTTGACATCCAATACCACCATTCGAATAGGCGGAGCTGGAGGAGGATTTGTCACAACATCAGCCAATTTGGTTATTTTGTTTGGTTGCTGACTTGAGAAATCGTAGTCCACTTTGCACCAACTCAACTGAGGTTGAAGGGGAACTGTAGTGAAAACAGATAATAATAATAATAAAAAAATGAACACTATCCCAAGTCAAGACATAGAATCCTTTCAAATAAATGTGAATTACCTGCTCCCTTGATCTCCAACCAACATGGACCACGGAGCTTTAGATCAAGCACCAGATTCTCAAGACTGCATAGAAATGTGCATTTTAAATTCAGATGGTGCTACTAATATCTATTCAGTAGCATGGGTAAAAGTGCAAATAGAACTTACAATGAGGCTGATGTTCCAAACACACGGGAGAATGTTTTGCCAGTAAGATCAGGAGGAAGGGACGGATAGGTTGCGGAATATCTAACTTCCAAATATTCGCATTCGCTTGGAACATCGGTAAGATCGAAGCAATACTTTTTTGTTGTTGGCTAAGTGGAGTAAACAAAAGAAGGTAAAAATGGTAAAAGGAAATAAACAACGAGACGATTTACGAATCTTACTGAATATTTACAGTAGCAAGCAAAATCTTCCAGAGCATGGATTACAAGACAAAGCCAGCTCTTATTATGTGGATAAATTTCCATGACGAGGAGCTTATCAGATGCTATTTAAGAGTGAGCTAAATGAGACCAGTAATTGAACGCCATAATCTAATTAAATAATTCTATAGGGAGCTGTAAAATCTAAGAGCAATAAGAAAAAATAGAATCAAACACCCGTAGCAATTGAGAAAAAACCCGGTTTTTTACGAAAACGTGAAACACGTGAAGTGCAAAAAAGAAATTGGCAACTTTTCAATAAACCCAGAAACTAGACATCGTCAATAGCTATTTCTGTGAATTCAGTCTGGTAAACGAAAAGATTAACGGAATTAGCAATGAAATCAGAAGGAAATCTCACGAATATCTTTCAAAGCTGGGCAATTGCAAGTTAGCAAAGCTAAAAAATTTGACTATGAGACCACTTTTAAATGAAAACAAAAAAAAATAAAGAGAATATAGCCACTTAAATAAGAAGTTAAGAACAATGACTGATTATTTTGAGAGAATGGAGAGAGGAAAAAATTGAGTTTATGAGGCATAAAATCGAATGTGTCCTTACTTTGCACTTGAACTTTCCAATCTTCCATTGCCCACTGAGTTCACGCAATTCTCCGTATACATCTTTAACCGTGTACTGCTACAAAAAAGAGAAGAAAAAAACAAAAAAAACATAGAAAGAATCAACGTCCAATCATACCGAATCAGGTCGGGGTAGAAAGAATAGTCGGCGTTCCAAATCTTTCAGACGAACACAGCAACTACAAAACCCAGTTGGATCATCCTTACAGGGAATTTTCCCGAAAAGAAACACAACGCCTGAGACAAAAAAACCAAAGGAATTTAATTTAAATCAAATCGGCACTTAAGAACTGAGTGCAAGTGAAATTTTCGTACCCTGTTGATTTTTCACATCTTCATAAGCATCCAACCAGAAAAAACGCAGAGCACCAGAATCATCTATCGCTGTGGAATTTCCGGAGTTATCCATTTCAACAAATGAGGCCTCTGCATCTTCGCCTTCTTCATTTAGCCAATTTGTGATGGCTGGAATATCAGATTCAAGTTCCTTTTCAGGACTATGCTGAACTTCATCCGTTTCAGCAACTGGAAAATCGTGGTCTTCAAAATCGTCCTCCATTGGCTCAGAAATATGTACAGTCTGGGTAACCGTTTCTAAAGGACCTTTTATTATATGTATAAATTAGACAAAATACCTTGGTTCACTGGTGAAGGTTTTGCAATAATGACTTCTGCTGGTTGAGGCTTAACAGAATATGGATTTCTAGGACGTGAAGTTGTCGACGATTGTGATTGAGGAGGTCGAGATTTGGGATAATGTGAAGTTTCACGACGAGGTTTGGCAACTACCGCCTGCGGTTGAGAGACTGATTTGATAGGAAGACTTTTTCTTGGCTTGTCAACCTTCAACTTTTTCAAAGGGGGATCATTTTGGATATCGGTATCCAGTTCAGCCAATAGATCGTCTAGTGCAGCATCTTCAGCGCCAGCATCCATAATCTGAATTCATCAATAGTCAAAAACCAATGCTTACACGCTTTTTTTGTCGAGAGGCAGACGTAGAGAACATACTACGAATATCTTTTGACCCTCCTTTGGTGGACACAGACGACCTAATATCGGGATTGGTCTTCTTTTTCGATGAGGTAGAACCACGATGAGGCTTATTATGGGATTCTTCCTCCTCAAGATCGCCATCATGATCATCAAATATTTCCCGACCGTCATCGGCATATCCAAGTCCACCTAAAGGATTTCGTAGTGGCATAGAATAAAAACCTGCCATCATCAACAATCCAATCATCTTCAATTCGTTCTTGAACAATCTTTGCATAAGTTTGCTCATCTACGGTTTCGTAGACTGGTTGTTCTTCTGTTTCCTAACACAAAATTCCAGTAGCCCTGTATAACTTACAACCACAAAACGTTCACCGCGCTCCTTGGCTTCGCGAATACGCTTAAGAAGTTCTAAACGATTTTCCTTTTTTTGACTAACTCGGCGTGGTCGTGAAGAAGCTAAAGTTTGTTAGTAAAAGTTACTTTCTTACAATCCATTTTACACTACTAAAGTATTGGTTCTGCGCGAAAAGTAATTCGCTGATTGACTCAAATTAAATCTACGCAATGTTTTTTTGACACGTAAAAGTTATAAAGTTTGATTCATTTAATAGTTAAACGATTAATCATTTTATTAGTTTTATAATCATAAAACTGTTAGGTAAGTTAAAAATTTTTGCGCAAGTTGCCCCAGGAATCATTGGAATTTTCATTGTCAGTCAAAATTTCATAAAACAGGAAGTCAGTTAAATTTTAAGTAACGTGATATTCTCGATTAAAATAAAACCGCTAAGTAGACTATTAATAGCTTTTAAATTTAATATTTAATTTAACTCATCTGATTCCCAAGTTATGTATTAAGCCGTGTAATTGTCAAATGTCTAGTTACATGATTGGATAAATAAGCATATTGATTCTAACCCTTTACTACTGATAATGAAGGATTAATTTGAAATTATGGCTACCAAAACTTGATGATTTTCAAGATAGAATCACCTGGCACAAATTGTCAATCCCGCCCCCCAAATAAGTTCTGCTTTACCAAAGGAGATCTAATGAGAAGGGAAATTTTACAATGAGGAACTAGTGGTTTTAAACAAAAATAACATTACCTCTGAGTGGTTGGGAAGCCCCTTGCTCTCATCTCTGTGCTTGCTAGAAATTCGATACGTAATATACTACGCTTTTCATTTTATTCTAGAACACGTGCGATAACTTTGGTCACAGGAAAATACATGTGGCTGCGTCACATTAAAGACGGTATTACGACCTTACTTTAAAACACTAGTTAATAAAAAACTCATTAAATATATAAAAAATTATTAATTAGGAAGTTATATTTGAATATAGTAATTGGTAGGAAACGAAAGAGTCAGTGCAAACAAAAATGGAAAAATATCAGAAATAACCACTTTGAAAACTTGTGTTTGTCTAGCAGCATTGTTTTAATACTAATCGAAGATGCAATACACCGGTTCAAAAACACTGGAAGAGATTATTCGTACTGCTTCATGAATTTCATATGAAATTCGCCAAGTCGTTCCATCATAATTTTCATTCTTTCAACTGTTGGTAGAATTGTCGTCCTGTTAAAATGAAAAGAGAAAAAATGTGTAAAATTGAATGCATCTAAAAGAGGCAATAGTAAATGACAAAAATCTAATCTTGGTTAATAATAGTCATCCAATAGAAGAAGGATTACCTAAAGTGGTAGGTGCCAGGTTTTTGGTTGAATCCAGAGCCGGGTACAACACAAACACCAGTATCATCAAGCAACCTCGTTACGTAGAACGTATCCGCTGGAATCTTAGCTCGCTGGCAAATGAAAACAGCAAAGTTTTACAATTCCAATAAGTAACAATTTATCAATTAAGTCGGATAAAGCTTTTCTAGGTACTAATTGTTTGAATGCTGTGTCAAAGTCCTTCCATTTTCTCAACAGGTCCCCATAGTATGAATCCAGGATGACATCTCTACTATCACCCACATTAATAAATCAGCACAAAATCACAATTGAACAGACAAGGTTCTAATTGCACGAGCTTACTTCAGCGGCCTGCATTGCTTTCGGCGGCAGCTCAATTCTTGGAAAGGCGTACATGGCACCCATGACAGGTTGGCAGTGGTAGCCAGGCAATTCATTGAAAAGACTCTCAACCAACTTCGCCTTCTTGGCCAAATCGCTCAGGACATTCGACTTCTCACGACAGAACTTCTCATAGGAGGGTTCACCTGGTTTGGGAGGATTAACAACGACATTCATCGCTAGCTACAACAGAAAGAGTTTAACTAAATATCGCTTCAAGAAAGTTGCTGGCGACTTAAAACCAGCTTTAAGAACAACAAAAACAAACCGAGGACATCAAACAACTCAAATGTAAATTCCAAGCTTGAGTACTTAATGCCCACAGGAACGATTAAGCCTAGTTAAAGAGTTTTGGCGAAACCGTATATTTGATAATACAGGGGTTTTCCGAATGTGCGCGATTATTTGGGATTAAAACTCAAAAAATGCAGTCTTACAGCTTTTCGTTATTTGGGACAAAAGCTTGACTCTCCTCATACGGGACGAGTCATTCCCCAAATCTGTGAAATATTTTACTTTTGTATTCTCACCCATGGGCGCTTATTCGGGTGGGCGGTTATTTGGCTCCGAAAATTGTTTCGTAAAGTGGAATTCTACCTTTTATCGCCCTGGGTGGATTTCCGGAAACCCCGGTACTAACTGAAATCGAAGAGTCTAGGTAATACTACTAATACTCAAAAGTAGTACGCCTAATATTTAGCCTACAAGTTTAGTAAACGTATTTTTATGCAGATCATGAAAGCTCCAATATCCAGAATAGTCTATGGAAATTGTGAATCTTGGGGTATCTATATTCACCATATTAAATAAAGGAGTGTGCGATAGACTTACCTCCACGTGGTGCACTCAGGGAAACGTATACTCATACGGCAAGAAAGTCTGTTAACCGACAGTTGACTTCTCACTTCAAACTACCGTGACCTCATTGTATGTCATATTCGACTACTTCCACAGTACTCACCTCACCTTTTTTCTACTTTATGGCTGTCTCTTTGACATCTTTGGATCATTTTCGATTATTTTCACTTTGATATTTCTTCTCCTCTGTGAAGCCTGAAGTCAGCGAAATGGCTAATGATAACCAACAAAACGCCTGCCATTTGATATAATAATAATAATAATATTCACCATATTAAATAAGTCAGAGGCATATTCAAAGAAAAAAAGGAAGGAACCTTTTTAAAATTAAGGAAGAAGGTATACCTGGCCAAGAACTGGTGGGCAGAGACGAGCCGATAGACACTTGTACAGCTGAGCTCGAACATCTGGATCGAAGTTAACCAATTCGCAGTACCCACCACGGAATCCGCACCTGAAAATAAACAACAACGTCGTTACATATTCAAATATCCTAACTAGCTGCAAAGAAGTGAATTTACCCAAACGATATGACAAGCTACTAACAGGTCACCCATGAACACCTCCATTAATCTCTAGGTTTCTCCTCATTGAACTACTATTCACTGTATTTAGGCATTTTCTAATGATTAGACGTCTTAAGTATTTCACTTCGCAATAAACACTGGGCACAAAATCATTCAACGTTCAATTGCCTCACAAAAAAATTAAAACTAATTAAGTGGATATGTTACGCGTTAGTTAATAACAGGCAAGGAACAAATTGTTTATCACGTGCAAATAAGAATCTCGTTTAAATTCAAACACGTTTTCAAAGAATTTATAAACGCAGACAGCATGAAATATCGGTGTTTACAAACCGATAACGAGGTGCGCGAGAGACTTACCTCCACGTGGTGCACCCTGGGC